ATAGAACCTGATGTAGAGCAGATAGAACCTGATGTAGAGCAGATAGAACCTGCTATAGAGCAGATAGAACCTGCTATAGAGCAGATAGAACCTGATATAGAGCAGATAGAACCTGATATAGAGCAGATAGAACCTGATATATAGCAGATAGAACCTGATATATAGCAGATAGAACCTGTAGTATTTGGAACAAACATTTTGATTGGATGAAAAAAAGCTGATTGGCTGATTGTGGTTTATTTACATACATTTAGGAATCTGCGAGAATTCGGACAGAGCCGAGCGCACAGCTGGTGTCGATCGCGAACAGAGAAGGAACCGAGCGCGACCGCAGTGTGTTGAGAAGAGTTTCAGAGTTGAGCTTGTGTTGTGTCACTGCGCGCTCGGATTGGTTCCTGCGAGCTCAAAACGAGGCACAAATATCTCTTCGTAGAGGGGCGGGGCCAGCCCAGGCTAGAAGCTGCATTCAGGGACCGTGGGAAGATGGATGCAGCTTACATGAAAACACAGCACTGAACACTGAAAAGTCCCTTTTGGAGATTTCCCAATAATTTTCCACAGTTCTTGTGGTTAAAACATAAAAATGAACATTTTATTATATTTGATTTAATAAAAAAACTTCAATTAAAAATCTAGTTTTTCTTTTAAACAACGTTTAATAATCTTCCTAAAAAAAATAAACAACGTTTATTTTTGAGGTATAATTCTGTTTAACAAACTTTAACCCCAAATTTAGTTCCGTATATTTGAGCCTCCATCATTTCTCCTCCTCATCATCATCATCATCCCAGCCGTCCCCTCAGACCTTCATCACCTGTCTGAGCAACATCTGCTGCAGCTGGAACCTGATTGGTTGGTTCAGACGGCTGCTCTTGGTCAAGTTCTTCACTGTGAGCTCTGGACTCACCATGGCTCCCTGCTGCCCCCTGCTGGGCAGGGACCACATTTTTACTCCCCCTTGATTCTTCAAGCAAAAGGTTTATGTTTAATTTTTGACATCATAGGAAGCAGCCAATCACTGAGGAGGAAAATCTCCTTTTCCCCCCAGGATCAGGACGCCCTGAAATAAAACCCAGATGATTCTGGTTCTGGTCCCTTCAAATATCCGACAACAGGAGGAACCAGCAGACGGGTCAGGGATCAGGTTCTGGTTCTGATCAAATCCAGCTTAGGTTCCAGAACCTCTTCCAGAGTCCAGTGAACCCATAATAGAGGACCACGGTGGTTCTGGAGGAGCTGCTGCTGTTCAGGAGGTGGTCTGAACTTATTTCAAGTTTCCCAAGAGAAGCATGGTGGAGGCAGCGGCATGCTGCGGGGAAGCTGCTGGATGGAGCTTAATCCAGAACCGTGCTGGAAGAGAACCTGTTAGAGGCTGCAGAAGACTAGAGCCGGCCTAGTCAAAGGCCAGATCCTCCATTTTCTAAAGGTTCTGTAGATGTTCACGCCCACCCAGTCTCTACAAGGTTCTGACCCGGGAAGGTCCGTCTGGTTTGGGTTCCTGGTGAGAATGAAGCCCCTAAAAGCTCCTCGGATCCAAATGTTAATCTGAGGGAACCTCCTGGCTTCAGTTCTGACCCGTCAGCGTGTGCTGGATGTCTTTGTGTAGAATCCGTGGCTGAGCGGTTCCGGCCCGGTTCTGGGCCCGCGACCCGCGGCCTTCAGCCTCTTCAGCTGCCTCTCCTGTCGGCGGCATTTCTGCTGCGCCGTCTTCAGTTTCTTCCTCAGCAGCTCCAGCTGCTCCTCCAGCTGCTCCATGCGCCTCTTCTGCTGCGCCGAGTCCTCCGCCGTGTAGTTGTGGTCACAGCACACCGCTGCCGAGTCACAGCGGGCATCTGCCGGGCCGCCGTTGGGCTCCTCTGCGGATGCCGGGTCAGAGGTCACGGGGAGGGCGTAGTGGACCTCTGAGGGGAACGGCTTCTCCAGAGAGTCTGTCTGAAGGACAGAGAACATGGAGATGGTCTTTAGACCCCACATCAACCTAGCATGGAGAACAGCAGCCATTTTGAAGAGGTCAAACAGCAGAAGGTCCCTGAGCTCCCTGCAGCAGGTTTTGTTATGGTGTTGAGGTCAGAGGTCATGTGATTAACTTATTACTGATTAGCACAGTGCGCTATTTCTGCAGCGTCGGGCGCCGTTTGAACGGTTCTGGTTCTGATGGATCGTCATTTCGGATTCTTTAATAAGAATCAGAAACATTTCCATTGTATCAATTTAACCTCCTGTTATTAATCGTCTCTAGAAAATAATTTATTACTTTTTCCATTTAGTGGAGGAATAATGCAAATAAAACAATCAAACCTCCATCAGAGCCTGCGCTGCTTTACGCTATGCAGAGCAGATGGGCTAACGGTTATTACGGAAAAAGCACTTGTTAGCATGCTGTGCATAGAAACAGCTGTTAGCTAGCTGGTTAGCAGCTGTTAGCTGGTTAGCAGCTGTTAGCTTGTTAGCATGCTTAGCATAGAAACAGCTGTTAGCTAGCTGTTTAGCAGCTGTTAGCTGGTTAGCAGCTGTTAGCTTGTTAGCATACTTAGCATAGAAACAGCTATTAGCTAGCTGGTTAGCTGGTTAGCAGCTGTTAGCTTGTTAGCATGCTTAGCATAGAAACAGCTGTTAGCTA